GCCTCGGTAGAACATGAACATTGGAACACATCTTGGCGGCTCCTGATGACGTATCTCCTTGGCAACCGGGGCGGGGCCAAGACATCAAGGCGAGGTTCGTTGTCATTGAGAAACACCCCTAGACCCGCTCCCATTTACTCTCGACCTGATTTTTATGGTTATATGTTACAAAGCCGCTAATGTTTTTCAACAGCTGGGCATCATTTAATAAATTTTAACAACATTTTCATTTATATTTACAGAGATTAACAGTAAAAACTACACATTTTCACTTTAAGTAATGCATTACTAAGCAGACACTCCCCTGGCCCTTTGTCCTAACCTTAAGAACACTTAATAGTTAACAATACAGGAAATGTTAATTAAGGGCTCCTTTGTTTATTAATGCTTAATAATGCACTAAGTAATGCTAATGATGGGGCACTCATTGTAATGTGTTACCATAAAATCTGACAGTAAAAGGTGAATGAACTCACATGCTTGGTGGCATCTGACAGCTGCTGCTCAATACTCTCTACAACCTTCCTGAAGGGGGGTCTGTGGAACGGGTCAGGATCCCAGCAGGAACTCATAATCTGATACCTGCAAAAACACACCAACAGCTTTATATTTAGTCTTTGATTATTATATTATTTCTTGTTCTAGTAAATAGTTTTGAACTTTTTCCCCTACTGGATTATTCTTAAGAATATCCAAAAGCAACAGGATGAGAGTGGGTCATGACTCAAGTCTCTAGCATAACGTTCTTTCATAATCTCACAACTTTCCAGCAAACATCTATTCCTTTTCACAATTTCTTTAAACTCAGTGGCATTTCAAACTTGAGGCTCACATGTCGCTGGGCGCAAACTCTGGAGTATCCATTCTGTATCCTTCTTTTATCAGCTTGTAGAACTTGGCATCCACCGGCATACCAGGATAAGGACTGTTTCCTAAGTTCAGAGGAAACATTTAGTTACACTATGCAACCCCCAAAATGCAGACAGCCATATGCATACAGAAAACAGTGTGTGGATAGAGAATCATACCCAGAGAGAAGATCTCCCAAAGCAAGATGCCGTAGGACCATATGTCACTTTCAAATGTATACACACACTCAAAGATGCTTTCAGGGGACATCCACTTCACTGGCAGACGAGCCTGAGGGAAGATAAACACGACGGAAAGCTGTAGCTGTTATATATTTGTTTTTGTCAGCAATTGTGTGACAGAGGTCTGCTAAATGCCAGACTGTTATAACACCAGGAAAGCATGAAGAATTTGCCCGGGGGTTCAAAAACAAACGGGCACATCTGTGACACTGAGTTGTTTCTTTTTAATAAAGTACAATGACCCTGACGGTCGTAGAAATCCGAGAGCACATAATTTAACAGAAACAAGAGAGACAAGACAACAAAACTCTTTAAACGTCAGATTTCTGGTGCTAATGGAGACTTTGAAGGAAATAATGGTGGTATGTTGGAGCTTTTCTTTTTACAGATCAGTAGCGAAGAGAAAGAAAAATGCACATCTTCACAACCTTGCCCAATAATTGTGAGAAATAAATCTGAAGTTGGAATTTTTGGATATTATTTTTCTTACAGGAAGGAAAAATCTGTGCAGAAGTAGTAAACAGTTTCATAGAAATGTATCATCGCTAACAAGTTACTGTTTTAAAACTAGTTAGGTACCAGGCTTCCATATTAGCTGAAAATGAATGTCGCTGTGGCTCCAGTAACAAAAACTTCAGCCAGTCAAACAAAAATGTTGACATTTTCTGTTTAACTCACCCTGGATTGGCACATACCAACATTTGCAAGAACACCCTGCCAACCAACTTCTTTAAAATGTTTTTAGCTGCTTGAAAAGCTGATATACTGGAAATTGTTTATTGTTCCTTAAAGTCAAATATTTTTCCTAAATCACTGAAAATTGCTGCTGTTAAGCCTTTTCTAAAGAAAAGAAAATTAGATCCCTTTGTGATGAATAACTACAGACCAATCTCTAATCTCCTTTCATTAGAAAAATGCTTGAAAAATCAGTTATGATCCAGCTAAACAAATTTTTGGAGACAAACAACCTGCCAGATAGTTTTCAGTCAGGCTTTAGACAACACCACAGCACTGAGACTGCACCTTTTAAGGCATTGAAAGATAGTAATCTGAACACAGATTCAGTCACATCACCTGTTCCGATGCTGCTAGATCTCAGTGCAGCATTTGATACTGTGGATCACAACATCCTTCCTGATAGGCTCATAACTTGGGTGAGACTTTCAGACACAGTTCATAGTTGGTTCCGATCATGTCTTGAAGACAGATTATGTTGTATCCATTGGTGAATACAAATCAGAGCTGATCACCATGACATGTGGGGTCCCCCAAGGCTGTGACCTTGGATCACTGCTCTTTAATCTCTACATGCTCCCCCTGAGCCAGGTCATAAACAATAAAAACATTGCCTATCACAGCTATGCAGACGACACCCAGATCTACCTCACCTAGTGACTGGGGTCCTCTAGACTCACTCTGTCAGTGTTTGGATCAAGTTAATGACTGGATGCAGTCAACCTTCCTCCAGGTAAACAAAGACAAGACAGAAGTTATTGTCTTTGGACATAAGAAGGATATGATGGAGGTTATTACTCAGCTTGGATCCAGAGGAATAAAGACAAAGACTCAGATTGGACATCTTGATGTCATGATTGATTCAGGCCTGAGCTTCACTAGCATGTCCAAATATCATCAAATAAGATTCCAAGTCCTGTCGTCTGAAGCTCAGCTGTGATGTGGCTCACTTCTAGCTCCTGGAAATGTCACACCAGGGCTTTACTTCCCCAGAGTACAACTTACAAGGCAACATTTCCTACGAAGACATTTTTACAAAACAATGCCATCAACTTGCTGCAAGTGGCCAGAGCATGGCGGTAATGTGATGCAACTGTGTAAAGGATGTATGGGGGCAGTCCTAGTGCTGGCATGCATTTATCTTGAACATAACTTGCTTTTCATTGCCATAGAAGCCACGATCGTTAAGTTTTGACAACAAGCCGCTCCTGTAGGTGTCTGTCCCCCACAGTCCCTGTATGTCTGATGATCTGAGCTTCAGCTCTAATGGAGAGAAGCTCATGGACAGCTGCAGCGCTCCAGTTTTCCGCTTTAGCTGATTTTGTTCAAAAAGCAAAACTTACAGCCCGTGTTTACTTTTATTTTCAATATAGTTGCCAGCCAGAGCTAGGCATAAACTCCCTACTTCATCACGGCACCTTCCTCTGCTGCGCCAAGGTGCAAACCGCTGTTTATAAGACAGACAATTACAGCAATATTACTACCAAGCCAGGCAGACTCAACGCCGCAAAGTTCATGCACCGCCATGATGGCATGGCACGTTTATAACTTTCAGTAGTATTTGACTGATTTGCCAGCACGGTGTGTGTCTTGTAATAAGGGCTCTAGAGACCACTTATTGGTTAGTGTTCCACATCTTTAAAGAGCAAGTCACCCCCAAATCAACTTTTTTTTCTGATAAACTATATAAATGTGTGTCTAATCGTGCTGCAGACACGTGTAGTCAATAGTTTTGTACTTTAGTGCATTTTAGTAAAAAACTGTAATTTTCTGCCTAAAACTGTCAGTGTTGTGCCGTTGTCAGGTAAAAACTCTGCGCTGCATTAGAATTTAAATCTGCCACCGCTATTGGCTAAGAGGTATGCTATGATGTAAACTGGTCCTTATGATGTCACAATGCCGTTGTGAGCCTGTGTGTGTGTGTATTTGTTAGTGGCTACGCCCTCTCGGTCTGCTAGGCAACAGCATTTGTTGCATTTTTCAAACATGAAGAGGGAGTGAAGTAAGTTTCTTGTAGGGGGTTACTTGCTCTTTAATGTCTTGTTTCATTTCAATGTCAAGTTGTCTCACTTTGTCGTCACTTTCTAGCACAGGACAACTAAACTGTGAAGGGTTCCAACTGAATATGATGACTGAATAGTTTGAGAAAATGTTAGTCTTACAACATTTCTATAATTTTTGAACATGTTCAAACCTTTAGCAACATGAGAGCAATGGGCAGTGACTCCTTTTTGAATGTAAGCTGATGCACTGAATGGACGAGTGAGGGTCGGTGGAAGCTAAAAGCAAGTACGGCGCTACCATTTAGTCAACCGCTGTGTCTTTTATTGCTGTGTCGATAGTTCTGCTCGCTGCAGGGCATCATCATGTCACAATGACAGTTCATCACACACACACACACACACACACACACACACACACACACACACACACACACACACACACACACACACACACACACACACACACACACACACACACACACACACACACACATACAGTTCACAGAAACGTTAAGCAGAACGGTTTAGCCGCGGTATTTGAAAAAAAGCCTTACGTTTCCTTTCACCACATAGTTGGAGTCTGTGGTGATGTCTCTGGCCAGGCCAAAGTCACAGATTTTTGCAACCCTTCCTTGAGTCAGCAGGATGTTTCTGGCAGCAAGGTCTCTGTGAATACACTAAAACCAAAAACAAATGCACAGTAAAACAAATCTGTCGATACTGGAGGAACTGATTGTGAGCAGCATGAGTTATGAATGAGGTGCTTATTCTAAAGTACTTCAGCGCTGCATTTTCCATGCTGGTCTCAGTAACACACAACCATTCACACTGAAATGCAAACTCGCCGGTTACAGTATCTGTGCCTCCACGGCTGATGAATTTTTCAACAACGTGCATTTTAGATCCGTTTACTAGCTGTAGAAACGAGATCGGTGCTTTTGGTAATGACACACGAACGTGCACACTCATTTTATCTGAAAGTCTAGTTTGGTGAATGTCAGGATGAAATATGCACATGCTCACATTTTTGGAAGCTAAGAACTCCATTCCTTTGGCCACTTGGTAAGAGAAGCTGAGAAGATCCTCGGTATCTAGAGACAAACCATCCCCATCCAAGATCTCGCTCTCTGCATCAGCTTCCACAGAAGAGCCACCTGAGAGAGGATCGTTACGACAGACTGCTTGATTAATTTGCTTGCGCTCCTGTGTATATTTTTAAATTTTCTTTGTTAAACTTTGATGAATGGCTGACTTGTTGGCTTGCCTTTGCATGGTGAGTGTCTCCGCTCAGAGGATGAGCTGATCGGTGGGTTGCCAGTAACAGAAGGCCTCATGGCCATGTAGCCGTTCAAGCTGTCACTGTGAAAGGAAAGGAGCAGTCTGGTCTGGGCCGCCATAAATGCTGCTGTTCAAGTACCCTACTCCTACGCACGTTCTGAATGTGAAATACTCGCATTCTTCCTTTATTTCTTTCATGGACAATAAACTACATAAAAACCTCACCCATCTGCAAATTTCTGCTGAGTGATGTTGCGGTAGTAATAATCCTTTTCCATCTTAAAGCAGAAGAAGGAGTCTCTCTTTCTGCGGAGAAAGTTGAGAAGGTCTCCAAAGCAGCAGTACTCTGTAATCACCAGAGTAGGACCTGCAAATAAAGAGTCATCAGCATGTTGTTTCCAAATCTGCAGCACAGTCAAACTGATAAACGTAAAGACCTAGCATTACTTGTAGACGTGAAAATGACGGCGTTTAACAGCCATCTGGTCAAGCTCCATGTACAATCTCACGTGATCGTGCTAGCATCCATATGTATTATTGATGACTTTCAGCTACCATAACATAATTGTTTCAGCTAAATATCTATACAACTGACTGGGTTATGGCCATTTTAGTATTTGAAAAGGTTCATTATCTGTGAATTGTCATAAATATTCACAATGAGTATTTTCTGAGAGATTTACCAAGCGGTTCACGAGATTATTTGCTAAGAAAAATACACACACGCTACAAGATTTTCCTTTCTGATGAACAAAAACCAGCCAGAATAAGAGACAGAGCACAAAACATGGCTGCCACACCTCCAACAGTGCAGGCTCCCAGCAGGTTGACAATGTTTATGTGGTTCCCCAAGTAACTCAGGACCTTCAGCTCTGACATCAGTGCTTCTTTTTCTGTGGCGTGAGCGCTTGCTGAAAAAAAAGATTGACATAATTAACATTAATGTCATGCTGAAAAGATATGATTACATGTTACGTTTTGGTTGTTTATTTGAAAGACTAGCCTTTCACTTCAGGGAGATTAGAATAACAGGCACCTGTTACAAGCAGAAGCATAAAAACTGCCAGCATAAAACATCCAAATAACATCTGCTTCAGAAACACCTGCAGCCATAAAGCCATTAGGCATCACCGAAACCTCAGAGCAATGGAACCACCTCTGGGAGTTTTCATGGCCTCATTAGCGTGACAGGATGCAGGTCTTACATTTGAGCATCTTCACAGCAACCGTCATGACCGAATCTGCCTGGGTGAGTCCGTACGCGGTGGCTTCCACCACCTTCCCAAAAGCACCGGATCCAAGCGTCTTTCCTACAGATGAGATGTCAGAAACAAAACTGTTATCCCCTATCTTCTACGTCCTCCGATGAACAGGCTCAGGACCGGTGTTCCCAAGACAACAGTCTGAGCCCCCAGGCAGTGTGTGCGGTCAGCAGGACGTGTAGGATCCTGTTTGAAGAGGGATGTTGAAAACAACACCCAGAATAGGTCAACAATATTATGTTTGCAGTGGAGGAGTGTGGTTTTACTGTTAATAAGGTGTGGAACGAGTTAGTCAGTGATGACCACACTTCTAAAACCTTAATGCGGCGTCAAATAAAGGCAGAAAACAGAGACAGGCGGCGTGAAGCAGCCTGAGGGCGGCAGCTATGCTGACATGTCATTTGATGTTGCTTTAATGTACCGAAGCGTGTCTATTTGTGCTCCTGCTGCTTCTTTGATTTATAGTGAAGACACTTCAACAACAAACACAACCACTAATCTCATGCTGCACTGTGTCAGGACCGATTCACGGTGTCTCTCATGGACTTTGATAAGGAAGTGCAGCTCGCTTACCAAAACGCAAGTTGTTTCTCGGGAACTCCCACTGGTGGTCGTAAGGTAGCTGCGTGGGGTCAATGTACACATAGTTGTTCCCATGGAGTCCCTCAATGACTTTCCACTGTATCTGGTACTTCGGTTTCTGATAGGAGACAAAAGTACAGCACTTGTGAGCTCTCTCTCTTACTCTTGACTCAAGTCAAACTATGGTGAAGGTGGGCGTGTCCCATCCAGGAGGACTGAAATGTGGACTTGCCTGCATGTATTTGTAGAAGAGCACAATCAAGATGAGACAGAGAAGGCATGCAGCTGCCACAGAGCCAATCAGCAGAGGTGTGAACAGGTCATGAGGAACTTCTCTTTCTACTGGAGATAGATTAAAAAAATACAATAAGGCTTAATGATGATGGTTTGATGCCAATCAGAGACTCTTTCACCGATGATGTGGGAAAAGGATATGAGAGGGATTTATTTTTTATAGCTGTTATCAGTAGTCAGAGTCATTTCTGGGGTAGACGGCAGTCAGACCATTCCCAGTAGCACAGTCAGGAGACATTTCTTTATGTTTATTTATTTATTTTTGACAGACGCTTTCATGCAAGCGACTAACAAATTGTATGAATCACTTCAAGTTGGGCCACTTCTGGGGGACGTGTGAATAGTGATTAAACTGCCTTTGTGTCTATTATTAGCACGTTTTAAGACTAGTGAATCTTTTTGAACACAGCGGCAAATCTAGCAGCTTATTCAGGGGATTTTTGGGGACTCTTACAAGAAAATGCGTATCTTTTTTAGTGTTCTTAATGAGCAGTGGCTGCTGCCGTGGGCCCAATCCTTGTTCCAGAGCTCTCACAGGCAACCTAGCCCTCCTGTAGCAGCTGTCCTTGCATCATCAAGATAATTTCTGTGTACAGAAATAGAACTGAACATGCAAGAAGCCACTGCTGGCCAATTCCACCCTGGCTTAAGGCAACAAATTCTCACACCCCAAGCGTCGAAAAATGATGCAGTGTGACCAAGCGTTTGTTTCCGACGCGTAGGGAGCCCCTGCAAGTCGGGAGGAGACGGGCTGTGCCAGAGCGTTGCTGTCCGACATCCGCGGTAAAGCGGTGATTCCACCGAATTGTGACCTTTACCCTCTTGCTATTTAACCTTCCCCTCACCCCATCCTAACCTTAACCAGCTTGCGCATGCAAAGCTTTGTTTCGTGTTTCATCATTCCTCTCAAACACTCTTAATGAAATATTTAGACTAACATACTGGGTTAAGGTTAGGATGGGGTGAGAGGACGGTTAATCGCTAGAGGTTAGAGATGAAATGTCCGTGAAATCTCCGTTTTACCACGGATGTCGGATAGCGACGCTCTGGCACAGCACGTCGCCTCCCGATGTGCAGGGGCTCCCTACGTGTCGGAAACAAACGCTTGGTCACACCGCGTCATTTTTCGACGCTTAGGATGTGAGAATGTTAAAGTTAAAGTCCCATTAGTTGTCACACACACTGATGTGTGAGAGAAATTAGTTCTCCGCATTTGACCCATCCCCTGGGGGAGTGGTGAGCTGCAGACACGGCCGTGCTCGGGAACCATTTGGTGGTTTAACGCCCCAATCCAACCCCTCATTGGTGATTGTTGAGCAGGGAGGCGTCGGGTGTTGTTTAAGGAGATTTAACTTTGATTTTTGTGTGCTCCTACAATAAGTAACAATCTTACCTGGAAAAATGAGCAAAATATTCAAATTGTAGAAGTTTTCTTAGCCAAAACCAACGTCTTTTAAACAGCAAAACTGAATCATTTCAAAAGTAAACACGTCAAACACACTATTGATATTTTCAAGTGGATAAAATAGTTGGAGAGGTGAACAAGTCCTGGTGATCAGTGATACATTCATCAGCCAGCCTGCACACAGCTTAGTGAAACAAATATTGTAATAGTGTCAACTGTCCCATGCAACAGCGAGTTGGTGCAGAGACACCTAATAAAGCGTTTACTTCAAGTGGTTTTGATTTGTTTTATATGGAATTTGCTCTTGTGCACTGATTAACCCTAATCCTGACTAATCCAACAGAACTCTCTGATTCTTTAAACTGGAATCGCTCTGATATCTGTCTGATGTAGGTAAGATAGTGACTAATCACGACTGCCCCACACAACATCTGTGTTTTAGAAAGAATAATATTTCACTTAAAGGTGAGTCTGAGAAGACAGCAAAGCCCATTTTGATCACATAGCAGCAATTTTACCCCTTTTCATGTGAGCACTGGACACAATTCACCACTTTTATTATTTGTTGGCACATTTTGCACTTTTGTTTATTGAGTTTTCCGCATGAATCCCACTTGATCGCATGCTAATTGTTCAATTTTGTTGTCACAGCTGTGCTGGTGAGTAATTGTGTGTAATCGCTGCTCTGTTCCTTTGTGTCTGGCTGCTGGTGATGCCTCATTGTTTTGCTCCTCTGTACACACTGCGGTGTAATAAGCTCTTTAGCGATAAGAAGCTTTCTCTCCACTTCAAATCTGAGAATGCAGCGTCTGCAGGAACTAATCCCCGGTAAACCTGTCAGTGGTTTCCAAAGCTCTGTTTTCTTTGCTGCAGCTAACTGACACCTCCCAGCATCCCGCTGCTCCAGAATGCCCACTGCCAGGGCTCCTACTGCGCTCCACACTCGGCGCCTCCGCCTGGTCTGCTGTTACTCTGTGTACAGAAAGCCTGGGACAAGCTTCGTCCTCAAGAGGCACAGCCACATACTACAGCAACCATTTCCCCCTCTGTGTTCTGCACAAGTGAGGGCCAGCAAGCTCAAGCAGGGACGGCATTGGTGTGCTCTCAGCACTCACGCTCGCACCACTTTGAGGGCATTGCACAGCAGATGGGGAGGCCGTTGCAAAAGAGCGGATTTGGAGTCATAACATACACAAAGAACTGGAGCTAATTCCTATTTCTAAGTGAGAAGATATCATTACGGCCAATCGTTTCTCTTTGCAAATGTTTACCAAACAGATGAGAGCCAATGAGGATTTAGATTTGGGTTCAGAGGTAATGTTAGCCAAAATCGTTGCTTTTAGTAAATAT